ACGCGTGGCAATATAACGCGTGGTAGTACTACGCGCCGAAACACCACGCGTGGCGATATAACGCGTGGCAATGTAACGCGTGGAAGTACTACGCGCCGAAATACCACGCGTGTCGATATGACGCGTGGCAATATAACGCGTGGTAGTGCTACGCGCCAAAATACCACGCGCGGCGATATAACGCGTGGTAGTACTACGCGCCAAAATACCACGCGTGGCGATATAACGCGTGGCAATGTAACGCACCGAAATATCACGCGTGGCGATATAACGCGTGGCAATGTAACGCGTGGCGATATAACGCGTGGCAATGTAACGCGTGGTAGTACTACGCTCCGAAATACCACGCGTGGCAATATAACGCGACGCAACTCAACGCGTGGAGATACAGCTCACGGTGACATAACGCGTTCTATTCTAACGCGCGGCGATATAACGCGAGGCAACTCAACCCGCGGCGATATAACACAAGGCGACACTTGTGACAACATAACGTATCCATCTAAAAGTAGTATTAATCCTTTCGCCAACAAAATATTTTATATCGAGTATTTACGGAAAATGGCAATATAGCGAGTGTCCAGTACTCGCGCCTTATTAGTATTTCGTCGAAATGAATGACAGTAAAATTCGAAGAAATGTCATAAGTATAATTGAGGAGAACAACAGGGTTAATTAATAATTTTCACTTAACGGGTTAATCACGGTGAACATTAGAAACGGTAAATATAGAATCTTCTCTGTTAAATCGTCGCGATGTTAGGACACGCACAGCGTATTATACGCGTTCTTCGAAACTGTGACTCTTATAAAACATAGAGAATGTACAGAGGTGTCTATGTGTGTATCTGTGTGTACGTGTATGCGTGTGTGTCCGTGTGACTTCGTGTGTGTATGTCTCTGTTATAATACACTGTGCCGCGTGTGTGGACTTTTCGAACGACAATGCTCGACTACTACTCTCGACTTGTTACTTCTCCCTCTCCCTAACCGTGTCTCTTTCTATTTAGCCATTTTCAATTTAATCCTCGCATCTCTACCGTACATTAGCAATCACGATATCGCTTAGATTAAATAAACGATATCCTCGCAAAATCCACCACGATTTTTCTCAAATTAATATCGATTCTCTCCTGCCGTATTTTCTTACAAAGAATAGATTTTACATAAATATTATATGTACACGTGAACACAATTGAATTCTTGTCATATCGTAATCTCATTTCCTTTTCTTTTTCTCTTCGTCGAACCAAATCGCTCTTCGGACTCTTAATCAGTGATTTCATTCAATTCGGCGAATCATCGATGACAGTTCAATGGGACGAGCATTATATTACTCCGTAGCTACTGTCTGTTCCACTTTTTGTTTATAAATAAACGAGAGGCTGTTAGTCAGTGACGTTGGCGAACCGCTGAAGGTGCGTGAATGTGGGTGACAGAAAGATGAAAACGGTTAGGGTGAACACGTCGCTCGTGACAGAGACGGAAGACGGACTTCGATTCGTAGAAAGAAGAGACAAAATGAGTCACTAGGTGAAGAAACAGAAGATAGAACGAGAAGGTTGCGTAGGTTGCGAATTAGCGAAAATTTTCCATGATTCTACGATGTTAAACTTTAGTAGCGAATGTAGGGATTTAGGGACGCAGATGGGGCTGTAGGGATTTAGGGAATGTAGGGATTCGGGGATATTGAAACAGGGGGATTTAGGGATTTTGGGATGCAAGAATTTGGGGATTTGGGTGTATGGGAATTTGGGGATGTAGAGATTTAGGGAGATAGGGATTCGGGGATATAGGGATTTGGGGATGTGGGATTTGGGGATGTGGGATTTGGGGATGTGGGATTTGGGGATGTGGGATTTGGGGATGTGGGATTTGGGGATGTGGGATTTGGGGATGTGGGATTTGGGGATGTGGGATTTGGGGATGTGGGATTTGGGGGATATGGGAATTCCGGGACGTGGGAATTCGGGGATGTGGGAATTCGGGGACGTGGGAATTTGGGGACGTGGGAATTCGGGAGCGTAGGAATTCGGGGACGTGGGAATTCGGGGACGTGGGAATTCGTGGACGTAGGAATTTGGGGATAACCCCTTGCCGTGCCATTTATTTATGAGGTGCGTCAGTCAAGACTTCGGGAGCGTAGGAATTTGGGGACGTAGGAATTTGGGGACGTGGGAATTCGGGGACGTGGGAATTCGGGGGCGTGGGAATTCGGGAGCGTAGGAATTCGGGGATGTGGGAATTCGGGAGCGTAGAAATTCGGGGACGTGGGAATTCGGGAGCGTAGGAATTCGGGGGCGTAGGAATTCGGGGACGTGGGAATTCGGGAGCGTAGAAATTCGGGGATGTGGGAATTCGGGGACGTGGGAATTCGGGAACGTAGGAATTTGGGGACCTAGGAATTCGGAGACTTGGAGATTCGAGAACGTAGAAATTCGGAGACTTGGTGATTCGGTGACGTGGGAATTCGGGGGCGTAGAAATTCGAGAGCGTAGGAATTCGGGGGCGTAGGAATTCAGGAAATATAGAGATTCGGGGACTCGGGAATACAAGAACTCAAGTATATAGTGATTCACGGATTCAAGAATTTGAAGATATAGGTGTTCGAAGGTATATAGACTCGAGGTCGTAGGAAATCGGAGATACTAGAAATTCATTTAGACATTCAGAAACATAGTAATTCAAGAATGTAGGAAATTAAAGATATAAGGATTCAGAGGTACAAAGTATGTCGCCATATACGAATTCAAAAATGCAGATATTTCTGAATCTGAGAATATAAGTATCAGCGAATATTGGGATCTAATGATACTATTATCTAAAGATGACAAAAGTGGATATCGAAATCCATAGATTTAAGGACACAGATCTAGGTATCTAGGCATTAAGGACCTAGGAATGTACGTCCCGATATATCTCGCACACTTGTTTCGCATTTACGAGGTACATGGCCGGCTGCCAGGTACACTAGACAATGAACGATTTCGAAACATAGAAAGTCTGACACGATTCGTCGACCTAAAAGTATGCTTATGGCGCATCATTTCGATGCTCCTCTCACATAAATTACTTGAAACACCCTGAAATCAATCATTGTCTAGAACCAGTCAACGTCGCAAGATTTGCTAATCCCTTGCCGTACAATTTATTTCAGATGCGTCAATCAAAACTGAGTATTCATAGCTATAATCTTAAAACAAACAAGGAAAATTGAAAGGTTTCGAGTACTTTATATCGAGTAAATTTCAGTTTATTTTATATTGAGTAACTTGTAAATTTCAAGTTGAAGTGCATTCAAAATTTAAAGGTTTGTCGCATTTGAGCTGCGAGTCACGAGTGAGACTCAAAGTACGGCAAGGGGATTCGCGCTCGTAATCTATCGCCAAACCATATCAGACAAAAATTCGATATGTAACCTAATGCAACCTTATCAACCCTGTAACAAACTATAATAAAATCTTTCCGTCACTCTTAATTTCACAAATTGCTTCGTAACCGTTTGCGATTACGTTGTATGAAAAAAAATATCAAGTACAGGGCCGAACGAAGGAGCCGAATTACTAGAAACTCCCTGAAATCAGCCCCGACGAGAAAGAGTACGATTAGAGAGAGGGATCGCGCATGCGTAGCCTGTATCCGAACCGAACCGAGCTGTATCGCGCCATAACTGAATCGAATCCGTGATTCGACGACACGCTAAAGCATCTTATAATCGTACAAAGCACCAGTGCGTACAAATTCACTCTTCGTCTATACATGCAGAATCACAATATCTTTCTTTCATACGTATATTACCCATCGACGCGGTGACAGAATATATCATATATATATTTGTATATATATATATAGACTTTTTTCTCTTATTTTTTTTCTTGTGTTTCGTTTACTAGTCCGTAGCAAAAAACTGGCAGCGGTGTGTCGCGATTAACATAGAACGTTAGAGAGAATTCCCCCATGTTTTTTCCCCCGTTCCACATCCACCGTATTTAAGGGGTGTGGATCCCGGTGTCCTGTACCCTCGACGTATCTGTACGCGACGCACGAAGACGTCCCGAGTTACCCTGAGACTGCCCGACGCTCTTCCGTCGAGCGTTTGCGGCTTACACTCCCTCGTTCGTGGACGCGGCTTAATGAGGTCTCAGCGTAACGATTTTATTGTTGCAATTGTAGTTACAGTAATCGTAATCGTAGTCGTGAGTGTACGGAGGCAGAAGGGACGCGGACTCCGGGGCCGGGCAGGGCAGATGCCTGGGTCAGGCGAGCTCGTTGCTGTCCGGGAAATGGTCACGACAGTCGAGACAGGCGGCCAAGTCGAGCACCAGGTGATGAAGCGTAGGGTGTTCCAGGACCTCGGCGTCCGGTAACGGCGGATGGCAACGGGGCCTCTGCTGACGACCCCTGAACGACCGGTGCAGGTTCAACACCACGTCGCAGAACACGTAACGAACCAGCAACAGTCGGAGGAAATCGTCGCCGAAGAATTGCAACACGCTGGTCTCTGTTAATAACCAAACTTTCGTTAGTTCATCAGGGCAATTTTATATATAACACGTTTAGTGTGTCATTCAACGCGCTTGGTGTCGATTGTCACGATCAGGTGGACGCTTCGTTAGGCACCTTTTGACTTTAACCCCTTGCCGTGCCATTTATTTATGAGGTGCGTCAGTCAAGACTTCGGGAGCGTAGGAATTTGGGGACGTAGGAATTTGGGGGCGTAGGAATTCGGGGACGTGGGAATTCGGGAGCGTAGGAATTCGGGACGTGGGAATTCGGGACGTGGGAATTCGGGAGCGTAGGAATTCGGGGACGTGGGAATTCCGGGACGTGGGAATTCGGGGACGTGGAAATTCTGGGACGTGCGAATTCGGGAGCGTAGAAATTCGGGACGTGGGAATTCGGGAGCGTAGGAATTCGGGACGTCGGAATTCGGGGACGTGGGAATTCGGGAGCGTAGGATTCCATTCAGGACGATAACATTAAAACGAACAAAGAAAATTAAAATGTTCTAAGTATTTTATATTCAGGGATCCTTGACAACGCAAATTATAGTTGGATCTAAACTTCAAGCTAAAGAGTATTCAAAATTTGAGTAACATTAATCACATTTGAGTTGTGAGTGCGTCACGAGTGAGACTCGTCAAAGCACGGGAAGGGGTTAACACGTTTAGTGTATGATTTAACATACTTGGTGTCGACTGCACGATCAGGTAGACCCTTCGTTAGGCACCTTTTGACTTTAACACGTTTAGTGTATGATTTAACATGCTTGGTGTCGACTGCCACGATCAGATGGACACTTAATTAGGCACCGTTTTGACTTTTAACAAATCTTAGATTTTTAAATCTTCTTCGAATTTTATCTACACTTTTACAAATCCGTTCGAGGTATTTCCTCTTGAGTAACCAATTACCCAATTGTCCAAACAAATTCTTGGTAACATGACTGGTTTGTACAAAGCAATTTAAATAACTGATAGTGGTAGTCGAAGTGTTGAAGAGTGTTGGGTGTATTTCATCTTGGCAGGGTCTTGGTAAGATCATCTTCCAAGATGAACGTCATGATACAATGATAGGTGACCAGAGAATTTGGATTTCTTTTAGACATCTTCATTGCAATTTGTATTAGTGAATTGATACATTAAATCATGTTAAAAAATTTGCAAATTTTAGTCATGAATTTTTTATGTAATAAAAATAAAGTTTCTTATTATAAGGTACACATTTTGTTAAACATTTCTTGATATCATAAATGATTTTCATTAAGATAAAGAATAAGTATGTGTACTAATTTATGTTTCTTTTTTTATTGATGTATTTTTTAACTTCATGTCTAATTTCAAATAAAGTACACATTAAATACCGACAGGTTTAGAATTTGGAAGAAGTAATAAATATCCAAATTCCCGAGCATCAGGGACTGTGTACGAAACAGTGCCATCCTGAAATTTGTTCAATGATCCCGATAAAAAGTTTCTCTCATTTCCAAGAGTTCGCACGACGAGTTCAGGCCAAGACGGTTGGTTAAGTGCGATCTCGAGGTCGACCTCGATGCAGCTACGCGAAGGGGTTAAGAAACTTCTTCTCGCGAAGATTACGTAAGCGTTGATAACCCTTGTTCCAGATATACCGTTCGCGAGCACAAGGAAGCTTCCGATTCGCGAGACAACCGCAATCGCCACACAGGACTGTACAGTAAGGAATTTTGAAATTTTAGGACTTGGGGAGAGGGAGATATCTGGCGATGTAGATCTGGGGAATGTAGAGATTCGAGGAGTGGAGGAATCTGGGAATGTGTGGATATGGAGATATAGTTATGTTAGGATGTGGGGATGTAGACATACATATGTGGATGTAGAGATGTAGAGATATGTGGATCTGAGGGTGGAGATATATGTGGATCTAAGGATGTAGACATATGTGGATGTGGAGAAGTAGATATATGTGGATCTGAGGATGTAGATATATGTGAATGTGGAGATGTAGACATATGTGGATCTGAGGATGTAGACATATGTGGATCTGTGGATGTAGACATATGTGGATCTGGGGATGAAGACATATGTGGATCTGAAGAGGTGGATATATGTGAATGTGGAGATGTAGACATATGTGGATTTGAGGATGTAGACATATGTGGATGTGGAGATGTAGAAATATGTGGATCTGAGGATGTAGATATATGTGGATATGGAGATGTAGAAATATGTGGATCTGAGGATGTAGACATATGTGGATCTGAGGATGAAGACATATGTGGATCTGAGGGTGTAGAAATATGTGGATCTGAGGATGAAGACATATGTGGATCTGAGGATGTAGAAATATGTGGATCTGAGGATGTAGAAATATGTGGATCTAAGGATGTAGACATATGTGGTTCTGAGGATGTAGACATATGTGGATCTGAGGATGTAAACATATGTGGATCTGAGGATGTAGACATATGTGGATCTGAGGATCTAGACATATGTGGATGTGGAATTTAGAAGAATGTAAAGATCTATAAGATGTGGTTACAAGAACATATATCGATCTGAGGATATAGCGATGTAAGAAGAGATCTGAAGGATACAAGGATCTGGGGATATAGGAATCTAGGAACATGTAGCTATGCTACATGAACTCGAGCCGAAGTACATAGGTATATCATCGACGTGGCTCGAACGCGTAATGGCGGATAAATTTCCATAATACCGTAGCCGGTGTTGTGGTGGCCGGTGCTCGAGAACCTGTTGTTCGAAGTTTCGAACGAATTATCGTTGTTCGGTGCTTGGACAGGATCGATTCCGGTGAAACTTTCTTGCCAGTTGAAAGCGAATGAAACGTAAAGGTTTAGAGTCGGGCCGGAGACTCGACAAAGGAAACCACTCGTACGTTCGAAAACTCGTACGACGTATCATTGTCGCGGCTGAAACAATAGAGAGTCCCCTTTGTAACCGACCCTAGATCACGCGTCTACGAGCTGAGATTGCCAGTTCAGCGATAAACACGATCTGGATCTAGGCCAGCTCTGTTTATCGTCCTAACGCAATCGTCAATCCCTTTCAGCGAGCTTTTTACTACCGGTCAACGAACTACCGTCTTACATTCTTTTCTCGTCGTATATCTTTTTATTTTTCTTTGCTGATCGTTATTAACATGGAGGGTATTTAATCGAGAGGGTATTTCTTTGATAGGTGGAGCTGGAGGATGGATTATTTGAATCTAGGGATATTGGAACATAGAGAAATGCAGCGATAGTTGGGTACAGAGGTACTGGGTGCTGGAGCCATTCAGTGTATGTACAAATGCAGGTGTATGTGAATAAGATTATTCGAATCTAAGGATACTGGGACAGCTATTGGGATGTAGGATGAATACATCCTATGTATGGATGCAGAGTATCTGAGTGCAAAGATACTGGAGCTAAAGATATTCAGACGTGATCATACAGATCTAGGGTTCATTTAAAAAGATGTCATCTAAGGATATTACTGGAAACAAGATCTAAAGATCTCACAGTGCAGGGATAGGGGTGATCTTGGGGTGACTTGCACCAGGAGCATTGTAACCTATGGTCATAGAATGTAAAGATATTAGGACATCAGTATATAGGGATGTAGGGATACTGGAAAGTCCTAAAGACATATCGTATAATCTACTTCACTTTCCGTCCAATTTAAAACGATCCGCAGATCTGGGTCGCGATGGGGTTAAACACGAATTAGTAAATGACGGCAACGTTTACATTAACGAGAAGTAAGTAGCATCGAAACTGGCTCGCGTCACTTATATATCATCGAGCGTAATTTGGACAAGATGGTCCCATACCGTCGGCCAAGAGTGTACCAAGCCAAAAGTCGGCCCTGTATAAATTCCGAAAAGCAGCACCTCCCCGCATCGCAGGAAGCCTCGAAAAGCGTCGCGTCACTGCCAAGAAAGTTTCACCGACACGGGTTCCCCATCCCCGGAGGCAATCCAATTAGAAGAGAGAGACAGAGAGAGAGAGAGAGGAGCACAGCATCCCAGGTCGTGTCAGCCGACAAAAACAATGTCCTGGATCCTTACCGCATCTGGAGCGCGTGACGAGCTGACAGGCCTCGATGAGGAATCGCTCGATGTAACGCTGGCACCGCTCCCAGTGGTGCACGGCCAGGCTGCCGATGTTGCAAATAAGGCAAAACGCGGCTAAAGGGGCGTGGAGAAACAGGGTGAACAGGCTGCCACCGTGTCGGACATCTCTTAGGGTCGGCGGTGTGTCCTGCGGCGACATCAGCACCATTAACGGCTGACCGAAGTAACGGGGGATCTGTTGGAACACGAAACTGTTGTCCGAGTCGACCACCACGAACAGGGGCTTCCTGGTGAACGGGTAGAGGTCACCCGGATACAGACAGTGGGGCTCCTTCCCACCTGTCGGCCTCTTCCCGTGCTCCGGGTCCCTCTTGCTGCACGTCGACACGCCACCCAGGTCGTACCCCACTGCAAGATCGCAACGTTTATCAACATCGTGCAATTCTAGTTTCGCTGAGCGGTTCGATGTCTGGTGGTACCTGACTAACCTCTCTCGCCTTCTTTTTCATCTTTCTTTACTCTTTTTCATTGGGAGATGTAAATAACCTGCAGGAGGGTTTCTGTGGTAAGGGATGTAAGGTAACGTCGTTACATGTTGCGTTTGAATTCAACTTGGGTGCATTGAAACCATTCATCAAGGTTCACGTATTTACACGCATACAATTTTTATGAAGTACATTTTGGGACGCATCCACATTCTATACGTTTAACTCGTATGTATAGATTTTGTGCATTCAATTCGCACACATTTAAGGCATATGCAAATTGCATATCATATATTACACATTCAGACGCTACATATCCAACCTGTACTTGCATCATATGTTATTACATATCCAACTGGTACTTGCATCATATGTTACTACATATCCAACTGGTACTTGCATCATAAATTATCATGTGTCACATACATGTACCATATGGTACCATACATTCAAATCCACATGTCCATTTAGTACTTGTATTCATTCTGCACTTGCATCATATGTTACTACATATCCTTGTACTTGCATCCAACTGGTACTTGCATCATAAATTATCATCTATCACATACATGTACCATATAGTACCATACATCCAAATCCCACATGTCCATTTAGTACTTGTATTCAACCTGCACTTGCATCATATGTTACTACATATCCTTGTACTTGCATCCAACTGGTACTTGCATCATAAATTATCATATATCACATACATGTACCATATAGTACCATACCATATAGTACCATACATCCAAATCCACATGTCCATTTAGTACTTGTGCTCAACCTGCACTTGCATCATATGTTACTACATATGCTGGTACTTGCATCCAACTTGCACTTGCATCATAAATTATCATGTATCACATACATGTACCATATAGTACCATACATCTAAATCCACATGTCCATTTAGTACTTGTACTCAACCTGCACTTGCATCATATGTTACCACATATCCTGGTGCATCCAACTTGCACTTGCATTACAAGTTACACATTGCACCCAACTTGCCTCATAAATAATAACAACTTGCACATGATCTCCCAATATGTTCCCACATTTTCCACATCCTCATACCCCATATGTACAGACACATGTCCAACACACACACATCCAGATTTTACATACGTAACATACACATTCAGTCTACACGTGTCCATATACAAATCCAATGTACAATTCACATGCACATCCAATAAATTTACATTATTACAATTTGTATCAAATGTGCATACATGTAATTCAATTCGTACGCACCCAACTTGAAAACAAACCGAAATTCAGGACTAATGCACATGTGGACGCGCAAGTACGCGGCCTCATATCAGCATGCATGCAACATGGAACGTTGAATTTTTTTCGTATAAAAAGGGAGGAACATGCACTGTTTCGCGGAGGTTGGTATCCGACATTGCTATAAATAGCGGCGATCGGTCGCATCGGCTTTACGCTCGGACGAGTCGAAAGCCGAGCTTCATTTCGGTGGAACAATGAGAAGCTCGTCGGACCGTGTCGGTTTTCGAGACGCTGCGTGGTCGAAATTGGAGCGATCCCAAAATCGTTCCCGACATCCTTGCAAGATTTATTTCTCTATGATTTTTGAAACTCGATACCGGCAACATTGTACTTCGCTCGGTTGCAATTTGATAGAGGAATCGGCTTAACAGGTTTAACTCTTTGCGCTCGAGAGGCGCCATTCGATTTAATACAATAGTTTAAAAGAAGCATTATTTAATTAATTCTATAATAGTGCTTATGTGATGTATAAATATAGTGAAATAGACAATAACGGAAATTATTAGTAGAGAAATAATAACTTCAAAAGAAGTCATTTAACATTTTAATTAATATTTTAGAGTTGCTGTTTGCAAACAGTAAAATTATCTTCGAGTACGAAGGTTAATATTTAATATATACTTCACGGTCATTTTTATGAATGAATTAAAAAATTTCATTGTGTGAACCTTAATCTGCTCTTGAAAGTTAGGTTAGGAACTCTATTTAGTTAAATTTTATGAATTTTTTAAAAGTTGTACACTATGAGTATGTTAAATGCATAACAGTACAAATTTATTTAAGAGATATACAATAAATGTTTAGTAAATATTTTAGACTGAATTGTCTCCTTTGGAGTGCAAAGTTTTGTCAGCAGACATAGTAGACAGTATTATATGGACATGTTAAATAATTTTATACTAACAATAATATAATATTAATAGTCATATAAGTTGATGAATGTGTATCAATAACGTGTTAACAGATTTTATCTGCAACGTTCTTTGGTTCTATGCACCGATAATTTGTAAATCGATGGGATAACCGGTTGGTTAAATTTTCTGAGGAAAAAAGGAATGTTCAATTTCGAAAGAGAAATAGGAGCGTTTGACACTTGAACGATTCAAATATGCGAAATCCTTCGCGCGTCTGACCATCGCCGGCCCATTCTACTGAGACCTCGAACCGCCAAAGCCCTCTTCTCGGTTCCTCGTTGGAACTACAAGTGGTTTTTACTTTGAAAACAGCCCTTTAACACGTTGACTGTGCCACACTGAAAACCTCTGTGTATAACACGGCATACTTTACCACTTTGACCGACTACCACACCGGATTCGTGTAAAATCCCTCCGCATAGTAATTTGTTTCCAACAAACTTTCTGTCTGTTATTTAAAAATAAGAGAAACTGTCTATGGAGTAGAACTGGCGAAATTTGATCTACGGTAAATTAGACAGGGGGAGATTAAACTCGCAGGGGAGTAGAGGAGAAAAAATTGCATCTAAAAAAAAAATTGCATCTGGGGAAAAAATTAATTTGGAGAAAAATGAAGTTAGTTAATATTGGATGCAGGGAGAGTTGATCTTGAGACGTGTAGATCTGGAGAAAATTTGATCTGAGAAGGTTAGATCTAGGGAAAAGTTGCATTTGTGGAAAAATTAATTTGGAGAAAAATGAAGTTAGCTAATATTGGATGTAGGGAGAGTTGATCTTGAGACGTGTAGATCTGGAGAAAATTTGATCTGAGAGAATTAAATCTAGAAAAAAAATTGCATCTGGGGAAAAATTAATTTGGCGAAAGATTGATTTAGAGAAAAATAAAGTTAGCTAATATTGGATGTAGGGAGAGTTGATTTTGAGACGTGTAGATCTGGAGAAAATTTGATCTGAGAAGGTTAGATCTAGGGAAAAGTTGCATTTGGGTAAAAATTAATTTGGAGAAAAATAAAGTTAGCTAATATTGGATGTAGGGAGAGCTGATCTTGAGACGTGTAGATCTAGAGAAAATTTGATCTGAGAGAGTTAGATCTAGGGAAAAGTTGCATCTGGGGAAAAATTAATTTGGAGAAAAATAAAGTTAGCTAATATTGGATGTAGGGAGAGTTGATCTTGAGACGTGTAGATCTGGAGAAAATTTGATCTGAGAAAGTTAGATCTAGGGAAAAGTTGCATTTGGGTAAAAATTAATTTGGAGAAAAATGAAGTTAGCTAATATTGGATGTGGGGAGAGTTGATTTTGAGACGTGTAGATCTGGAGAAAATTTGTTCTGAGAAAGTTAGATCTAGAAAAAAAATTGCATCTGGGGAAAAATTAATTTGGCGAAAGATTGATTTAGAGAAAAATAAAGTTAGCTAATATTGGATGTAGGGAGAGTTGATTTTGAGACGTGTAGATCTGGAGAAAATTTGATCTGAGAAGGTTAGATCTAGGGAAAAGTTGCATTTGTGGAAAAATTAATTTGGAGAAAAATGAAGTTAGCTAATATTGGATGTAGGGAGAGTTGATCTTGAGACGTGTAGATCTGGAGAAAATTTGATATGAGAGAATTAGATCTAGGGGAAATTTGAACTAGGAGAAACTAGATCTAGGGAAGAATGTTTTAGGAGAATGCTATACTTAGGGAGAGCTGATCTCTCAAAAATTAAACTTAGGGTAGTTTAATGTTCATGAAAGTGGATCTAGAGAGAACTCCATTCTAGAGGAAACTATAATTAAGTGAAATAGAATTTAGAGGAAAGTTGAACCTAGAGAAACTTATCTTAAGAAAAGTAGATCTAGGAAAAATCTCCTAAGAAACCTAATCCCAAGAAACTAAACTTAATTCAATTTTCCATAGATCTAACCCATCACTCCCATAACTGATTATTTAACTAAATATGTTTCCAAAAGAGAAAAAAATAAAAATACCTAGTTATAATTAATGTTAACTACACATATGGTGTTTCTATCGTTGTACCGTAATTATTTCATTGCAAAGAGTCGTTGAACGCGTTAACGAGGGTAAAACATCCGTTTTCGAAGCAAACATGCCAGCTGGACGTTGTCAGCGGGCTTCCTCGATATCGGCTAGGCGTCTAGTATTTCGATATCGATTGCGAACTTAGAATCCATCGGTGCTGTTCCGAATCTCTATCGCGAAATGACCTTGACACGGATGCGCTACTCTACTTTCGTTGAAAGACCGTTTTCGCCTTTTCGACCCTGCACCCGCGGCCTTTTGAATAGCGGCTTCCTTTGCTGGTCACCCGCTGAATTTTTCAGCATCGTCGACCTTCGGTCTTAACGAATTTTCTTTTTCGTTTTTCCCTTTTTTCTTTCGAACCATTTTGCGCTTAACATTTACGCGAACAGCGGCTAGATCCAGCCAGAGATGTATAGAGACGGAAATAGCTGATCAGATTTTAGAAACGTATCTTCTGTTACTTAAGGTCATGGAAATGCTTTTTCCTTAAGATACAAACGATGCTTTTTACTTTTACAGTTTCACCCGGAAACTTTAGTACCACTGATGCGCTTTATTAAGTATTTCAAGAGGTTTTTACTGTCTAATTTTTTACCTCGCTATTTTCAACTCGAAGCTAAACGTATAACGAATAGTAATATAGTCTAATAGAGTAGTAGTATGGGAAATACAAAATATAATGC